AGTCTCAAACGGTGTTAGACACCTCTGGTCTAACACCGTTTGAGACAAAGCTCGAAAGAAAGGTGTCTCTGGTGTGGACCAATCAGTTTCAAAGACAATGCATAGATTATCAGAGTATGTTTTTTGTTTGCATTCTGACCACAAGTATTGTGGTTAATGCAGACATGATTCCTTGTAAAATATTTCATTTTGGTGTTGTAACATCTTAATACGGCTGTTTTCTTGCCAGAAGAAAGGGGAAAACCTATTCTCATATTTTGGTACTGGCAAAGGAGGTCCCATGAAATTGGTAGACTAATGGTTTTTTAGGGCTTTGGTTTAGTTTGAAAACAACTAGTTTGCTTTATCACGTTGAGAGACGTTGTACAACGTCCTCAAAGCGCATTGCTTATTCCCGTCATGGGGGGGGGGGGGGGGGGGGGGGAATCGCAGACGTATTTTCTCTTCCGAAAATATTCACACTCTCAGCAACTCTCATTGACAACGCAGTATCCGTGAGCATATTGGACCAAGTTACGTGAAATCAGCCCGATATCGTCAAAACTTGTGTAGCTAAGCAGGTATGATCCCGGAGAGTAACTGGATGGGTGACCATGGCCATGCATTAATATAAAAAGTTCGTCTCGGCAACATGGTGGTCATCAGGGGGGCAAGTGCAGAAAAAAAATCCATCGTAGTACTGTACTTCTATGCTCCCATGTTTTGTATGTTCCCCACCTTCATCAATCCGCACTTACCAACATGGTGAAGTATGGCCCTTATCCAGCAGTGGGGTCGACCAAGGGGCTGCACATCGCTGCGAACATTGACAAAACAGGAGGTTTGGCATTGGACAAGTTTGGCTCGGCAAGTGGCCTTTGTAGTTGTGTTTAAAGGGCCACAGTGACTCATCCAGGGCTATCGTGAAACTGGAGTTCCTGGAAAAAATCAAGGAGGTAACGCAATTCCACACGGATCGGTCAGTACCCCCCATGCCGTAAACCACCTCTCTTCCACAGGCACTTAATTATCTCAGTACAGCCATCTCATTATCAAACCCCGTGTAGAGTGAACTCGGGTGGGAGGGGGAGCATACACGGACCCAAGAGGGGAAGTGAGGCAAAACACAGTCAATGCAAAAAACATTTGCTTGAAACAAATGTTAGCAATTACAGCTGCTTTTTTGCCAATCGCGCATTCTGCCCCGGTTGTCACGCCGTGCGTGTGTGTATGTACACGCGCGAGTAAAGGCCTCGGGATCCATCACTTTATTGAAATGATGTCAACATTGTGCCGAGCTACGTACGACTGTTATTGCCCGCAGTTTGTCTATTAACGCCGGAATCACTGCCGCTGACGGACGTGGGCACATGGGGCCAGATTCCCGTTCACGGTCAACACCAGTGACGATTTATCTGCATCGATCCTGGGCCTCCTCTAGGTCGACTCAGCCTCAAATGAGCACCTGGTGCGATGTGTAAACATCGTCACTGGGGAGACAAAGGCGGCCGGGCGTGGTGCTGGCCACCCACCCTCTCGTGTGCCGTGCCGGCCTTCGTAGGTGCTCGCTAACAGCACTTGCCTCAATAGTTTGTTAAGGCTATACAGGGATTCTTTGTCTTTGTTTTTTAATGGCTAAGGGTGTCTCGCGAAAGTGGTGACCCTTTGAAGAACAACCACCCACTCGCGTTAAATATTCCATCAATATTTTGTGATGTTACTTTCGTCATTGTATAAGGTGGGGGCGGGGGGAGGGGGCTCAGCCTTCAGAAGATTTTGGGGAGGGGGGAGTTCAGCCCCCCTCTCGAACCCAACTCTCAACCTGACCCCTACTCCCCTTTCCCCAATGTTGTTCATCGTTATATTTTCATTAAACTAAAAACTATTCAACTCTTTTTTGTTATTTTACCCGGTAATGTTCCACTGAGCTATATAGCTCTTTTTCAGTAAGCGACCTGGCCACAAATGATAGCCCAAATTAAGTGGCTTATCACGTGGAAATTTACAGTAGCCTAAATACTCTGAACGCACGATGTTGATTCTAAATGCGGAGGGGAAAAAAATCAGAGAACCCCCAGAAAAATCCACGCGAACACGGGGACACAGAGAGAGAGAGCCATGCAAACTCCAAATATACAGGCATCGTCAGGGTCGGAATGGAACCCCCGACCTCCTGCGTACCAGGCGAGGTAGTTAACATCTAGCCACCGAAAGCGCCCTTCAGCGGCCCGGCTCGTTGAATTGTTGTTGTTTGTTGTTGTTGCAGTGCGAATTACTACTTCTGTGTGGGGGGGGGGGGGGGGGGGGGGGGTGTGTGGGGTGTGTGTGTGTGTGGTGTGTGTGTGTGTGGGGTCTGTGTGTGTGTGGGGTATGTGTGGGGTGTGTGTGGGGTGTGTGTGTGTGTGTGGTGTGTGTGTGTGGGGGGTGTGTGTGTGGGGCTGTGTGGGTGTGTGTGGGGTGTGTGTGGGGTGTGTGTGTGTGGGGTGTGTGTGTGTGGGGTGTGTGTGTGTGTGTGGGGTGTGTGTGTGTGTGGGGTGTGTGTGTGTGGGGGGTGTGTGTGTGGGGCTGTGTAGGTGTGTGTGTGGGGTATGTGTGGGGTGTGTGTGGGGTGTGTGTGTGTGGGGTGTGTGTTTGTGTGGGGTGTGTGTGGGGTGTGTGTGGGGCTGTGTGGGTGTGTGTGTGGGGTGTGTGTGGGGTGTGTGTGTGTGGGGCTGTGTGTGTGGGGCTGTGGGGGTGTGTGTGTGGTTGCTTTGGGAGGGGTGGTGTTGGTTTTTTTGGCGGGGAGGGCGAGAGATCAGAGCGGCGCGCGGAGCGAGCCGGCGAGGTCAAGGTTCATCGGCAAAAGAATGCCGTGGTAGTCACACCTGTGCCCGTGCCTCTGAAACGGAGAGTCTTTTTGGAATGCCGGTACAAAGTGCTGCGATAAAAGAATTCAGTAATGTATATGTGAAAATGTTCTGTTTTTGGTGTGTGTGTGTGGTTGTTGTTGTTCCAAGCATTATAGAAAAATAAAGAGAGAATTGCGAAAAAAATATTCCGATGGTGAACGATGTGTTTAAATGTTTAGCCGTTTATCGCTGGCGCGTGATTTGTGAGAAAATCGCAGTCGCCAATGTTGGTCCACCGGAGGAGTTAAACACTCAAACTACGGATCGAATTAACCGAGAGATGTGGGCAACGGCCCCATGGGGATAAGGATTTGGAGGACCCACAGCGTGTCCCAAGTACTTCGACAAACATCTTCTCGTGGATTTTTCACTCTTCAAACAGAATGCGGCCTCCGTGCCTCGCGCTGAAGCTAAATGTAACTTCTTATCCTTTGTCGGCAACTCAGGCGCAAAACAAAAGCCGCCACTAATAGATTGTCAACATTCTTGCACCGTTAAAATGCCCTTGTTTAGATTATACCTTCATTTATTGCACCTGATAAGACCGCTTCGTTTCCTTTATAACGGCGATTGACGTTTGTTTGTCACTATTAGGATGACCACATTGCCAGGGGTTTTTATTTTATTCTTCATATGGTAGCGGCTGTGATGATCTACGTGTGGCTATGTTCATGCCCAGGTTGCAGAGTCAACCAGCGGACGGCTTCATGAGCAGCCCTGTGGTGACCGTCTGTGACGCCGGCGAATTTCGGTAGCGGGTTAGCAGTGGCGACTACTGTGGTGCTCCACGCTTTCAACTAAACTATTTGAAACTATTTTTTATTTATTTACCAGGTAAAGCCCACTGAGCTGCATATATATATTTTTGCAGACCCCACCTGGCTATCACAAATGACAGCTCAACTTAAGTGGCTTATTGTCATGTTGAAATTTTTCGCAGCCAAATGTCTCTAAATGTGGTGGGAAAAACCGGATGACCCGGAGAAAAATCCACGGGACCACGAGGAGAACATGAGAACTCCAAATATACAGCAGGCGTCAGGGTCGAACCCACGACCTCCTGCATACAAGGCGAGGGAGTTAACATCTCTCTGCACCGTGGCGCCCGTGAGATTTTGAGATTGGTGACCACAGCCCCGTGGGACATTGTTCTTCACTGCAAGGCGCGCGGGCCACTGGGGAATAGCTGGATATGGCAAAAAGCGACTTAAATAACTAAAGAGGAAAAGTGTGAAGAACATGTTGTGGGCAGGAGATGGCTGCACCTAGTTCAGCGATGTTCTGACCATGGCAGGATTCAATCAGGACCATTGTCTGCAGGGTACACTTACAGCTGGGTGGTTCTTCTGTTGGGGTACGAACATTGATGCTCGTTAGGAATGGATATGCTTAGGGGTACTCAAACATTGAAGTGCTTGAGCAACATGGGACCTATTTATTGTTGTTCTTAAAATCAGATAAGTTGACCTTCGGGTCATTCAAAATGTTGATCCTTTCCCCTCGTTATATTCCAATGGTGCTACTGGCATCACTTCATTAAAGCGTCTATTCGGAACTCTCACAAAGCCGCGTGTCACCTTGTGTTCGAGAATAGCCCGTGGAAGGTGACATCACAGAAATATGTACGGGGACCCTTCAAGTACTTTTTCGTATCCACACACTGAACATGGTATTTGAGTTGCAATGATGCATCGATTAACATCGTTCTTAAGTTCACGAGACATGCATCAAATAGCATGTTTCAAAATAAAGGATTTTCCTTTCTTACGTGTGCTGTGTTAAAAGGATCGTGCGGCTCCTGCAGTCACTACTGGCCACGACAAATACTACAATATATATAAAAAAACTAGATTCAATTCATCACCTTTATGGATAAACTAGCCGCCATCATCATCAGACATTGTCAATCCGCTGCTGAATGAAGGCCTCACCAAACTGTCGCCTTCTGTCATGGTCTTGCGATGTAACAATAGTCGCCACGTTGGCTAGGAGATGTTAACTTCCTCGCCTGGTATGCAGGAGGTCGTGGGTTCTACCCTGACCCCGACGCCTGTACATTTGGAGTTGGGAAGTCTCACGTGGATTTTCCTCGGGGACCTCCGGTTTTCCCCTCCACATTTAGAAACGTGCATTTAGATAACAGTATTTGGCTGCTACGTAAAGATTCACACAATAACACTTCGATGGCCTATCATGTGTGGCCAGATCGCCTCTGAAAAAAAGAGATAATAGCTCAGTGGACTTTACCTGATACTATAAAATAGAAAGAAGAAACATGTAATTATTGTGAAGACTGAGATAGAGACGTGGTAAGCACCATGTCCAACTATCAGTCTCCTCAGCGCCTCTGGCCACACCGCGCCTTGAGGTTTTCATGGCGGTTTGGTCGGTCGGGGCGCTCGCTTGTTGTTAGGTGAAGATTATTCTCCCGGTTTTAAAGTTTAATTTCGAACAAATCTCAGCCATGTCTGGCTCAGCGGACTTCATCCTGCCTCAGAAATGCACGCCGCGTATTTTCGCCGACAGTTTTTAGGTTTTATTTCGGACAAATCCCCTCGACCCGAGCCCCCAAGCGCTCTCGCCCAGCGTCACTGCCCGGAGAGAAGACCGTTTTCCCGCTGGAGGCGCTAGGCCGCACGGCATCTCATCGGGGTTCGGGTTTCTTCACTCCTTAACGTCACGTCGTGGGTGTGATCTCGACCCTGACGCCTGCTGCTGTATATTTGGAGTTTGCGTGGATTTTTCTCCGGGTCTTCTGCTGTCCCTGGACCTGTACCACATGGAGGACGAGATCTACGAGCTCTCCTTGATGAGGGAACCGCGGAATCCAAAATCAACACCGCTGACACCCTCGAAGCCGGTGGTGATGGCCGAGTGGGCCTCCGGTGTGTCGCCCAAGCCCGACGCGGCCACCATCAACAAGCACGTGCAGCGCGTCGTGGAGTCCGTCTTCAAGAACTACGACCACGACCGTGATGGCTACATCTCGCAGCAGGACTTCGAGGTGGGCGACGGAGCCGGAGGGGGGGGGGGAGGGGGCGACGCGCGAGCAGAGGGAGCCGACACTGACTTTCTCATACATCATACACTGACTCACTCACACATCATACACTGACTCGCTCATCATGCGCTTACTCACTCACACATCATATACTCGCACAACCACTGACCCATTCACTCATCATACACAGGTTCACTCATCGTGTGCTGGCTCACTCGCACATCATACACTCACTCACACTGCCGCTGACTCGCTCACACATCATACACCGACTCACTCATCATGCGCTGACTAACACATCGTGCGCTGACTCACACATCATACACTCACACTGCCGCTGACTCGCTCACACATCATACACTCACTCACAATGCCGCGGACTCTCTCACACATCATACACTGACTCACTCATCATGCGCTGACTAACACATCGTGCGCTGACTCACACATCATACACTCACGCTGCTGCTGACTCACTCACACATCATACACTGACTCACTCATCATACACTGACTCGCACATCATACACTGACTCACTCATCATGTGCTGACTCACACATCATACACTCACTCAACCTAATACGGACTCAACCATCATACAGTGACTCGCACATCATACACTCACTCACTCTGCTGCTGACTCACTCACACATCATACACTGGGAGTGTCGTGCTGCCAGCTATGGCTGCAGGTTTTTATTGTATGTGTTATGTATATCGTTTATTGTTAAATTTAAAATTACAGTTCCTAAGATTACTGTTGTTACATTGTTTTTTATAGCTTTATTTTGGTGATTCAAAAACATATGGTTAATCTAAATTGTCTTATAGTTATATTCTTAGTTTTTTCGGTAAAGTCACGTTGTTTTATATATATTTTATTATTTTGTTGTTTCTCTTCAACGTGACTTTACCGAAAAAACTAAGAATATGAATTACTGCAGTCACGAAAGCTTTAAATCAAAATTTGTCTTATAGTTGTTGTTGTTGGCTTGCATCACATTGTGATTTTTGCACACAGCGTTTTAATACGTTTTTTGTGTGTGTGGAATATTTTCTGGTTTATTCCAGGATGTTTCTGTTGCGCGTCGTCGCTTTGGGATGTTCTGTGTTCATATTTTGTTGGTTGCGGTTGCACCCGACTTAAGAGCCGCATGGCTCACAGGGCTATACCTCATAAATGAAACTTGAAAAAAACTTGAAAGGGCTCTGTTCGCAACCTCAGCAGGTACTCAATGCATGCTGGTATACAGAGACTCTTCTCCCCATCAGGCGAATGCAGAATTTCCATTGCTGGCTCAGGGCTGCCAGTGGAGATGAGATCGACACTGCTCCACACTCATGTCGGCAGGGAGAATACTTTGTTTTATTGATAAAATTCAAGAGGAGAATGGATCGTGGGGGGAGTATATGGTGGGGGGGGGGGGGGGGACGAAGGTTGGTGCGGTGATTTACGCACCTGTGCTATGAACCCCGTGACCCGAGTTTGATTCCCCGGCCACGTCAAAAATCATCAGCGGTGAACGACATCCGGCACCGATGGTGGGCGCCGATTTCACCAAAATCAGCAGTGACCAGCGTGGTGAGGTATGACGCGGCAGTGGTGGCGTGTTGGTGAAGAGCAAAGGGTGCTGCTAAAGCAGTGTGTGGAAAGAAGCGCCGCTGATTTACGTCCTTCAACTCGTAAGCAGTTCGTGGGTTAATTGCCTCCTCTACACTTTGGTGCCCTCTGCCCTCTAAAACCAGGCGCGCACATATCTGTGTATATATATTTTTTACGACCGCCTCTCGTGCCCGTGATGTGTTCCCATTGTGCTGAGAAGAGCCACGCGGGTTCTTCAAAGGACTTTTGGACAACGGGAGTGGCGGAGGCGTGGGTGGAGTCCCGTTTGTTTGTTTGTTTGTTTGGTAGCAATAAATAAAGCCAACGGGCGCTCCATTACAGATTCCAAACAATCTCGATTTGAAGTGTTCGTGACTGCAGGGATCCATACTCTTTGGTTCTTTCGGTAAGATCACGTAGGTATAAAATTCCAAACACCCAAACATGTGAAAACCTTCCCAAACTTTTGTTTCTTCATAACAGTTATTTCTTATTATTTTTTTCCCTTGCAGAAATGAAATGAATGACGGTCTTTAGCGTGCTGTTATTCACGTTTCAAAATATTATTTGATATTTTTTTAATGAAAAAAACCCTCCCCCAATTTTGATGCATGTTTCATGCAGCTACAACTCAAGAGAACGTAAAACGAAAATTGGTAAAACAAAAAAATATATATACGAAAATATCCATAGCTGCACACGTATCTCAGTAATTGACAAGAGTTAGTATTTATTTAAAGAGGCCTCTGAGAGGAGGGTGCACCTTGGGATATATTGCCTTTTCTTCGTTGAGTATTTTGTGTGTTGGAGGAAACTGTCATGCCGAGAGAAACCCCACACGTGTGAGAGGCGATTGCCCGATGTATGGTGCGGTAGTGTGTACTCTGCGCTATGAACCCAGTGATCTGAGTTCGATTCCCAGCCACTGGCAAGCGATATCAAAACTGGTCTTGAATCCCTCGCCCCTTCACAAGTCTGCACTGACCAGTGTGGTTCAGTATGGTCAAACGACTCCAATAACTGACATTTATATATTAAAATGCGAACCATACCCCCCCAGCCCGCACCACAACTTTCGGTCAGCCACCTACTTACTATACTGCCACCTGCTGGCCGCCTTACGACTCTGCACGTTGAGAGTTTCACACACGGTGCTCTGTGCGCTCCATCATCTCCAGGTTCAGATTGTATGTAGTGAGCATGGATGTTAACGTTACGTTGACCTTTTTTTAAAAACCCTAAGATGCATCGGGCCTCAAATACTCTACACTCTTCCAGTGGTGAGATCTGGAAGATCCTTATAGGCAATGATTCATATATACAGGGTGTTTTAAAAAGTATTTTTTTTTTACAAAAGACGACTTACTGTTCCCTTTATGGAATGAGATGTTAATGGCTTATCTAAGGTCATGCAAGAGCCTAAAACATCAATATCAACTACATATGTCGGGCTCTCTTGAACATAGACACCGCATCCTGGGAATAAACACTAGTTATCCGATTTAACTCCCAAACTTACATGAGAAAAAGTCGGGCAGCGGCAGTTATATTGGTCGGAGAATGGCCCAGGAGGATGATATCACATAACTACTTCCAAAGTCACTTAAAAATAAAAGTCGTATTTATCCACGTGAGTGGCGCACATTTAATGGACTGCATAATTGCCCATCTCACGTCTACAAAGCCGACATGTTTGAGTCACAGAGGTGGAATTTAGACAAATTAAGTCAAACACATATTAAAATGTGATGTATTAGTGCATTGCACGGTGGGCATGCGGAAGGCCATCAAACTCGTGACACTTAAGAACCCGGATTAAACATGGGCAACTGCCTCGGTTCAAATCCAGGATGTCAGCGGTGCCGGCTGACTGCTCTGCCTCCTAAGCTACCTAAACTCAAACTAAACTACTTTTATTTTATCAAGTGAGGCCCGCCGAGCAACATGGCCACAAATTATAGCTCAATGAAGTGGCTTATCAATTTATAGCGGCCAAAAACTCTAAACGCATGTTTCTCATTGTGGAGGGGGGGAAACCGGAGGACCCGGAGAAAAATCCACGCGACCACCACAGGGAGAGTAACATGCAAACTCCAAATATACAGCAGCAGGCGTCAGTGTCGGCACCGAACCCACACCCCCCCCCCCTGCATACCAGGTGAGGTAGTCAACATCTCACCACGGAGCCACCATAGCGATCTTAAAATATGTAAACAACTTATAATACGAGAAAGGAGGTCCCATGATGGAGCTGCTCGCCCCGAGCTCTCATTACTCTGATAGTGGCATTGTCTTTGTGCTGTGTGCGCCAATGGCGTCCTCTGGTATAACACCGTTTGAGACGAGGCTCCAAAGAAAGCCGTCTCTGGTGTGGACCAATCAGTTTCAAAGACAATGCATCATATTGTCAAGAGGGTGTGTTTTTGTTTGCATTCTGACCACAAGTATTGTGGTTAATGCAGGCATGGTTCCTTGTAAAAAGGTTGAAGTTTTGTTGCCAGAAAAAAGGGGAAAAACCTATTCTTATATTTTGGTACTGGCAACGGAGGTCCCATGATGCATGATGTAACTTATTATACCTTCATAATGATGTTTTTTGGGTGAGATCGTGAAAGTATAAATGTGTCGAAACCCTCCACTACCCGACAAGGCCAATCAGTAACTTATTATACCGATGACATGACAGAAAACATCCACAGATTTTGCTAAACCCTGTTTGATTTAGTGGGATGCTCCGTCTCTCTGTATCCCCTGGTATATCTGTGTTAATTCCCTCTACTTAAGGTCTGTATATATATCTGCGGATATGTGTTTCCTCTACCCGATGATGATTGCTTGTGTTGCAATCGAAACGTCGTATATTATGTAATTTTATTTTTTCTTCTTTCTACGTGACTTTACCGAAAAAAACAAAGATGAATTCCTGCAGTCACGAAAGCACCAACTCGAGTTCTATCCACAGATGGCCCATTTTTGCGGTCTGACGATCTTTTTAACACGCTTTCATTTAACTCACTGTCTGTTGTTGTATCCTCAAATATTGTAACTCAATTTTAACCCACTTCCCAATGTCGTATCGACTGCAAACTTGGTATACTTATGTCATACTTATGACAATACTATATTCTATCATAAAAAGTAAAAATTTTAAGACATTACATTTTTATATGTTATGTTGCGTCTTGGGTCTAATTTGTCCACGCTCAACTGACGTTGGCTGTAATTGCCCACGGTCCCCCTTACGTTGTGGCAAGCTTCGAGGCCACTTCCTGGAGTCGTGGAATTCCTCCATTACTAGTACATTTCATAAAAGCGTGTTAAAAAAAGTTTTTAAAAATATTACTTATTTGCCCACTAATCGCCTTGCTCGCAGCTTTGCTCGAGTCCCACCCCCAAAAA